GCCCTAGACCCTCACCACCCCACTGTCTGTGACCGCGGGTTATGCATATATGCATACAAGGTCTTTGGTTGATTACTTTCCATCCATCCTCCCCCACCTTCCCTCCGAGATTCCACACACTGTTTCATGCTTCCATGTCTCTGGACTCACCCCATTCATCAGTTTATTTTATTACTTAGATTCCACATGAGTGAGATCATGTGATAATTGACTTTCTCTGACTGACTTATTTCATTTAGCCTGATACTCTCCAGGTCCCAACATGCTGTCCCAAAGGCTAAGAGATTCTTCTTTTTCACTGCTGCATAGTATCCCATGGTATAAATGTACCACAGCTTTTTTATCCACTCACCTACTGATGGTGTGCCCACAGACTTTTTATACATGATAAAGACATAATATAGATTAAAAATTCTTAGACCACAGGAAAGTAGTATCAGTGACTTGACTTTATTTTATTGGATATTATTGGACTCTTGAGGCAAGAAGAGTTAGGTAGAACCACCGATCAAAAAATGTCTTATTCACACGCACCATGAAATACTACGGGTAGCAGAGGATAAGATCCTTTAACTAGAGGTCCAATTTTCTAGTGGCTCAACTAAATTTCCACAAGCCAGGCACGACTTCAAGTCCACTGTTAGCTGACCTCCCCTCCCCTTCTCAGCCTCTGTTCCCCTTGGTAGTCATTTCCCAAAACTCCTAAGTGCTCCATGGAGGTAATTTCCCATTTTCCCCATCTTAAAACCAAATCCCAACCAGAAGATTGCATTTGACTATCTGATGGTTTTCTTTTTAAAATGTAAATCTTACAAACTTCCAATTATAAGAGAAATAAGAACTGGGGATGTGCAATATGATGCACATAATTAACTGCTGGATGGTATATTTGAAAGGTGCTAAGACATTAAATCCTGAAATGTCTCATCACTGGGGAGATAACATTTTTTTTTCTTTTCCCTTTTTCTATCTATATGAGAAAATGGATGTTAACTAAACTTACTGAGGTAATCACTTCACAGTATACGTAAGTCATTATGCTATACACCTTAAACTTATACAGTGCTTATGTCAATTATATTTCAATAAAACTGAAAAAAAGGGGGGAAAAAAGTGAATCTTGTCCAAATGGCAAAACTCGTTCTCCTCAGGTGCCTTACAAGGAGCCGGCAGCTGTTCCTGGAGCACTGCTACTCCCAGAAGCACAACTGAGTAATATTTACTGAGCAGCCTCGTGCGGCTCTCCCACACACTGTTCCCTCCACACACAGCCAGCCTCGGAGCGTGGTCTGCGTAGACACGGGGACTCTGCAGGGTCCCTTCCAATGCTGCTCAGTGAAATGGGGCGCATGGTGGTTCTCTGAGCTCCCCATCAAGCACCAGGGATTTGTGACCTGCTGTAGGGAACGCACAACCAGCCATCTGCCATCAATAAGGCGTATGCCATTCTGGACCTTAATTCAGGTTCTGGCAATCGTGGGCAAGTGAGTTTGTACACATGCGTATGCAATGGAGCATGTTCTGCCCGCATCGAAGGAATGGTTTAGAACTTGACAGTTGCAGAACACACAAGCCCAATGAAAAAGGGTCATGTCGACGTAATTCATTTGGAGGCTAAGAGAACCAACCAGAATTTGATCCTTCTGAGCTTAACATGAGCATCAGGTATTACTGAATTCAAGTCAAAGTTCTTATCTTTTCCCACCACATCCCTCTCCCAGTTTCTGCTTGGTACCATCAAGGATAGAGGGCAGCATCAGTTCTGAACCATCAAGTTCTCTAAGACCTGGCTGCTCAGAGCGTGGTTCACGGACCAGCTGCACTGACATCACCTGAGAGCTGTACAGATGTGCAGAATCTCAGGCCACTCCTGGACCCACCCAACAAAGAATCACATCTTACCACCATCCCCAGGTGATCCATACGCACACTGGAGTTTGAGAAAAGCTGCTGTAATAGACACATCTGTATAAATGTACTGCAGAACAGAAGAGTAAACCCTGGATAGTGAGCAAAAGGCTCCAGTTATTACATATGCTCACTGTATGAACGCTTACAGGGCCAGTCTAAACTTCCGTCAAGACGCAAAACAGAAAGGTGGATCAGAACAAGGATTTTGCACCTCCGCCACCTACTAGGCCAGTGATGGCAAACCTATGACGCGTGTCAGAGGTGACACGCGAACTCATTTTTTTGGTTGATTTTTCTTTGTTAAATGGCATTTAAATATATAAAATAAATATCAAAAATATAAGTCTTTGTTTTACTATGGTTGCAAATATCAAAAAATTTCTATATGTGACACGGCACCAGAGTTAAGTTAGGGTTTTTTAAAATGCTGACACGCCGAGATCAAAAGGTTCACCATCACTGTCCTAGGCCAACGAGCGAGGCTGCAAACTATTTGGCCCCTCTGCACATTGCTATCTTTACTGAAAATGGAGATAATAACCCCACCCTGATGGAGGTGTCTCTACATTGGCATGAAAGCATGAACTCAGAGCACTTAGCCTAGTGTCTGGCATGTGGGAAACAACTCAATAAACACAGCTACTCAACACCATGTCCCAGGGGAGGCAGGAGGAGAAGGTGGCGTGATGCACAGAAGCAAAATGGGTCGGTCTGAGACTTACCATCTGTGGGACTCAGCCCCCGGGCTGCGGAGATCATGGAGAGGGATGGGCTGCTGTGCAGAGAGCGGATGTAGTCCATGTACGGGTTGATGTAGGGATGTGGAGGGCTGAAGGGGGACTCCGAGGCAGCAGCAGGGTTCCGGTGCGGGGAGATCCTAATGAAGGGCAGGTCCGAATACGTTGGGCTACTCGATAAGGCAGAAGGCCTGGGGAAAAAGAAAACCGGGTACAAGAAGTACGCATGAAACAAGTGTCGCCAGAGGCAGAGGCTGTCTGTGAGAGGACATAAGATTTTAAGTGAACTCAAGGTGTCTTGGGGGGGGCGGATATTTCAGGAATATATCTTTCTTTTACCTTAAAGTCATGGTGACATAATGCAGGTAGTATATATGATTATTTGGGCAAAGAATATTGACCTTTGAAAACTTTTATGACACTATGAATATAGAAAAGTAACGGTCTGCCTTTGGCTTTCATGAAGAAATTCTAAACAACAGGCATCTGAGCTTAAAGTAGCTTCCGAGACCCCATTTTCAATTTGGCCTGATCATTAATTTCACCACTGAAAACTTACCTCTCACCATCATGGTGTTGCATTGAGAAGAAAGCAAATGTGTCTAGACTGGAAATCTGAGCCTGCACATGGCAGAGTTGCCCACCCATAAGAAAGGTGACTAACTGCAAAGGTCTGAAAAATGTGAAATCGGACACCCCACATATCCCTGTGCGAGCTTTACTGCGAAGTCTTGCATAGGAATGAAACCAGTTTCACAGATCTGGGCTCCACTGCGCTGAGGGCAGCTCCTCCTCTCTGAAAGGCAGGGGATGAAAGCCGGCTTCCTCTCACACTCATTTTTCGCATGGCATCCTGATTAGCCACATTCAGGGAACAATCAGTAATTAAGTGCTCCTGGGGTTGGAAAGCCGGGAAAGAATGAGATTTTGATCAAGCCCATGCCTTGGTTTGGGGGCGCTAAAGCAGGTTGTACACTTGGGCTGATGGAAATAAATTTTCGAACACACCTGGCTGCCACTGTACCCCAATCCCCTCCTGGTCCTCCTTCCCCACAGCCAGTCCCTGAAGCCCCTGCAAGAGGCATTTCTGAAGAATAGCCAGACGGTACAACACCCTCCCTGCCTTGTTCCTTCTTCAATAGGAAACATTTTGTGTGGATAATCCAGTGAACTGGCCACGACAGGCTAAACACTTGCGCTCGCCGTTTTCCCATTGACGGAGGGCCCGGCTACAAAAGGGAGAAGCCAAGATAGAGACAGATCTGCGGAGAACAGCCAATTCCTCTTATGCGACTGGCTTTAAGTGTAAAATGAAAGGGAGGGGAAACGTGTTTTTTCATCACGCCTCTCAAAGCAAGTGCATATTGACGGCAGGGCTCTGGCCCCTATCACCCTGTCAGAACACAATCTCGGGAGAGGCCGGCTCCACCACGTGCACAGCACAGGCACTGAAATAAATGAAACCGAAGATCAGATAATGAATTTGCTCTCAGTAGAAAATAAAAGAGACTGAAATATGGGGGTGGGGGGGGAGATGTTCTCTCGCTTGCTCCTTGTTATTCTTTTTTTTTTCATTTTGAACTAAAAAAAGAGGCTTTTTCTTGTTATTCAGAGGCCACTTTTGGTGAAGTAAAATAAAAATCCAGTTCTCTAAATTTACATGAAAGAAGAGTGAAAACTCCCCACCAGGAAAAAAAAAGCTTTCTTTTCAAAAAAACAACTTGAGGTTGCCCATACCCACTCAGAAATTAGTAAAATTACTTCTGCTTTAAATAAAAATCGGTATAACCTATTAGTATATCCTATTTTAGCTCTTTACCACAAAGCAAGTTCGCTGTGTTACATTCTAAGCTCCATTTAGACATGTTGCTACTTTAGAGCTCAGGGCATACTCCATACCAATAATTCATTTTCTACCAGAAAGGAAAACTAAGCCTTCCAAACTGGTTCAAAATAATTATTACCAAGTGTAAACTTATTTGTAGGCATATAATGGGACCGGTGCAGCAGAAATGTAGAGAAGTAGACATTTCAAGAAATCCATGAAGTGATATCTCCTAGATAAGCTTTTGTGACCCACTACAAACTGGGTCTGAACAACCTGAACCAAAAATCAGTGACGGCAATAGCACCTCTTACTTGTGTTGTTTTTTAGTTTAGACGAAAATTGGAACTTGTTATTTTTCTGAAATTCCAGAATTAAGAAGAGTAGTAAGAATATTTCAGAGGCGTAGATTGCACTTTGAAGAAGCACACTTGGGGGGAGGATCTGCATCTAGAATCGCATGAAAATTATAGAGGTGGGAGTTGGGCAGTCGCCACCCAAAGATGCAAGGAAGCCAGGAGGTGGCTGGCAGTTTTCTCAAGTCTGGACGTCTGACGTCTGCACCCAGGCCTTCACTTTCATGTGACCAGTTTCCACAAGAAAACCGAAGATAACAATTAAAAGCACTGCCGTGAGAAGGAATCCAGGCCTGCTCCCATCGTCCCTGGCAGGAACTCCAGGAAGAAGCAACACAGGGAAGAGGGCTGATTCCTCCTGGAGGTGAAGCCAGGCAACCTCACCCACTCTGGGAATGTCATAATCACACGTCACTTCCAGAGAGATGATGCTGAGGAGATACTGGGTCAGCTAGTTCTAAACACAGTGGTGGGACATGCCTTCAGACTGGAGTACAAGTAAGAAAACTAAGTTCATCACTGCCCTAAAGAAAGAAACTAGCCATCCCCAGAATATGAATAGCAAAATATTTAGTACTAGAGGCCCGGTGCATGAAAATTCTGTCAGGGAGCCTTCGGGGGCAGGAGGAGACCTGGCGATCAGGGGAAGGTGACGAGGGGGGTGTCCCCTCAGCCCGGCCTGCCCCTCTCACAGTCAGGGAGTCCTCAGGGGCAGGAGGAGACCTGGCGATCAGGGGAAGGTGACGCCCGATCACGCCTCTGCTGCTGCTACTGCCGGCAGCGCAAGCCTCGGCCAGCCCTGGTTACCTGAGCCTCAGGCGGCCCTGGGTGGCTGGGCAGCCAACATCTGAGGCTTGCCTGAGGCTTGGGCCGGCCCTAGCCCTGGGCAGCTGGGGGGCTAAGGGAACTGGGGGACTCCGAAGGCAGGAGCATGGAGCGGCAGGGCTGAGGGGACTGGGCGCCGCCATCTTTGAGGGTGTGGCAGTCAATTAGCATATTCCCTCCTTATTGGCTGTGGGTGCCACCATCTTTGCGACGGCGGCATGAGGGTCAATTAGCATATTCCCTCTTTATTAGATAGGATGGGTTACCCAGGGAGGGGTCATCAGGAATTCTGGAGACAGGTGGCACATGGAAGGGCTGAGGTGCAACCTCAGCCACCATACCTACCCTCTCCTGGTCCTTAAGGATCCCACAGGGAAGATACCTACCTTGTAGGGGTCTTGGCAAGTGAGTATGAGTAAAGCCTGATGTAGTGAGCTGGTATCATACACTATGCTAATATACTCCACTCCTAATCTACATACACATACAATACGCCATATGTACTCATACACACACATGCATAATAGGGATGGCATAAACAGCATATCATATGACTTTCAAACACTGAAATATTGGAACCCTCTTTTCAAAGTGCATCTTATGCTTTGCTCTCCTGCCTGACAGTGTTCCTGAAGCATCTCCTTGGATTCCCCGGGCCCCTCTTAGTAAAATTGTTAAACCACATAAGGTGGTTAAGAACAGGGCCTCAGTAATTAGATACAAGAGATTTGAGGGAACTGGATTTGAATTGAGGCATCACTGAATGTCACTAAGCAGAAGTTCCCTGATAAACACAAAAATGGAATAATAGCTCCCTCACGGGGCTGCTGCCAATGACTGGTACTGACACTCAGTAAACAGAGAGAGTTGCTGATGTCCCTGGGGGTTGTCAGAAGCACCCCCCAAAACTCTCATGTGCGTGTGGTTCTCAACTCAGCAAAGAGCTGTCTGCATGGTGTTCTGGTTTCCTTGCTGCTCAGTTTCTCCCTGGAAGTTGATCACTGATTCATTGTTTCCACACCAGGCTCCCGGGAGTTGGCTAGCATGACATGCTTCTAGAGCTGAAGCCCGACATAAATTAGTTTCTAAGCCACCAAGGCTGAGCACTCAACCTTGAACTCCAATGGCTCCAGTGCCACTGGACATGGATGTAAAGATATATAAATTATAGTTTTTCAAGAGAGCTGCTTTTAACATTACCTAACCAAAGTCACTTCCAAATTCCCAGAAGCTACATCATTTGTCAGTTTTTTTGCTTTGTTTTGTAAAGCAGATTTGAGAGGGAAAAGTAACCTCCTTAAACTTAATAGGCAGATGTGTGTTTATTGCTGTGTGCAAGTGCCATTCAAGATTATGGCCAGAGAGGGGAATTCTACGGTAAGGAAAGGAGGTGGGAGTTGTGAGGAAGGCAGCCACAAAAATTCCCATGTCAATGACATATACTATTTCACAAACTTTCATAAACTTGACCTGGTAAATATTTGTCAAACTTTCTAAAAATCTTCATTTGAAGATTACAGTAGCACCAGGAAAAAAAATTATAGGTGTCTCTTTCTTGGTTTATATTTTTAGTAGAGACACAATTTGGAGATTGCTGTTGGCTTCCCATGGCTTCCTCTGCCGGTAGCTTTCCCTTCCCTCTCTGTTCTGGGGCTGGACAAGACTCAATAATTGAAGGACAGCACAAACCAAGGAGAGAAAAACCAAAACAAGAAACGTTCTTAAAAGAACACTGAAACTTAGAACGGTTCCAAGTACAGAGATTCCAGGCCTTTTATGTTGTTGCCAAAGAGCACAGAAATATGACTGTGACCCTCTGAACTAAGTCATACTGACTTTAGCCTGGGGACCAGAGATGCCCAGCTGTAGAGGGCTGTCTGGGCTGCCAGGGCACAACTGCTGTTCCATTACCTCTGCATCTGGGCTCAGGCATGCGGGCCCAGCACGCCTAGTGAGGGACAGTGTCCCTTACATTGCTCTCACCTATTTGTCCGTCCAAGGCCATAGAGACCTAATGAGTGGCTGTCATTTCTTTCCAATGGCTATATATAATGTACAGTTTCAGACAAGAAAGAAGGTGGGGATTACTTTGATGTTCTCCCCAAAGCAAGAAAGCAATATGAAATTGTGTGTGTGTTTGTGGAGATGATTTGACTTTGGGTTACATTTTTTAAAAGGTCATGAA